GCAAACAGCGAGCCGCCACTCCTCTAATTTAAGTTCGGCGTTCCCAAAACTCAAATTACCAAGGTAATTTAAAATTGATATGTAATTGCACCATGTGCGCAAACTGTACACAGCAATAGCTTAAAAAAAGTGAAAATGCGCGGGAAAATTCACCGAAATCATACATCATCCTGAGTGTGGTCTGCACCCTGGGTTACACCCAGCAAACAGCATACCTCATTAAAAGTTACTAGGTACAACCAGAAATCCAGATTCCAGAAATCCAGAATCCACCAGGCACCAGCTACCCTGAACAGTCTGAACTTACCTATTTTTTCACATCAATATATTTTCTCGAACTGCCATTCTGCAAGTTTGGACAAGAATGCATAGCTACTAGCTAACTAGCCTACTAACTTACTAAGCTATTAGGTATTAATGCTTTCAAGTTTCACCAAGAAGAAAGCATAATAAATATAACTTATTATAAGATCACATCAAAATCAAAGTGGTAGTCTCAACTATCAGTGAAACATTATGATCTGTCTGAGCTTAGCTCAGCTGATGGCAGAACTTGCATAGTGGCAAAGCAGAGAGTTTTTTAGACTCTCCCTCAAGTTCAGATTTGAGTCCTATAAGTAGACCAGTATCCTAGATACCAGCATCATCATACATAAGAAATTGGTTCCTAAATCATTGGTAAATGAGGAAATTAAAAATGAACTGATTCTAAAAAATCTCTGGTTTGTCACTATGGGCAGAAGAGAGCCTGAAAGTTTAGGGGAGGGCTTAAGCTTAGGCTATAAGGACTCCAGAGGGCACAATGGCTTACCTCCAACTTTCTACTCCACTGTACATATAAAAGGCTGTTTAGTACTTTATTGTTATCAGAGGAGCTGTTAGGTGATCTGTAAATGACCCCTATGAGAAGGCTATCTTTGCCTTTTAGAGTAAGTTCACACCACACTGATTCTCTAGCTGATTGATGCTCTGCAGATAACTTAACTTGCTTGGCCCCATAGGAGGTTCTAACCCACAGAGCTACACCTCTACTGCACTGCTCTTCATTTACGTTATGAAAACAATCAAAACCTGGCAGCTGAAATTCAACAGGTACAATTTTCCCCCCGTGATTTTTAGGAAGTGTTTCTGTAATACAAATAATGTCTATACTCTCGTTTGCGATCACAGTTAACAGTTCACTTTTTTTGTTCAAAACGGAATCCGAGTTCGTGTAAAAACATTTTAAAACTTTTTGTGCACTTTCACTTTGATGTATGCGGTTACTCCCTACATTATTTACATGCCTTAATCTACGGACATCATTCCTACTAATTACTTGTCCTCCATATAGTCCGAATTACCTCTAACCTCCCTACTATTACCTCTAATCTCTCTACTATTCCTACACTAGCGTCTAGTACGGTATTACCTATAGCACAATATGTGGTAAGACAAGTACAACTGTACAAATGTTATATACACCTTCCTGGCGATTGACAAAGACTGCAGAATTACATCAAGCAACAATCAAGAAAAGCACACAAAACTTTAGAGAAAAATGAAACGAAATGTGAAATACAAACCTGCAGCGAGCGCACGCTGACCTACACGAGCAAGGTTCTGCATGGATAAAGTAAGCATGACACTTCAAACTTTGGAATATCTCTGAAGTGAACACCTGTTTCACGTGGCGCAGATCGCACCTAACAACCTACATCTACGACCGCTACTTCTGCACTGAACTGAGCGCCCAACGCCTCGACCCGATGCCATGCCACCACTGCGCCCTGTTTCTCATCTCACCGTTTCGTTTCGGACAACAAAAACGAAGATACATATTTCCTGGTATTTCAAATCGGAAGAATTTTTAATAAAATTAGTTTCAAATTTGATCAGGGAACATGACTTAATGTTCTATTTTGAATGCTTCACTTTCGTATCCCTAGTCTTTATTAATAGTTGGGCAATATTCGCGTGAGCGGTGAGTCCTCCGAGGAAAGCATCAAAGAAGATCGTTCAGGCACTGCGCTGTTGCAGATTGTTTCGTTCACTGCAATGGAGCAGTAGGAGTGCTCGGTGCCACAATGGAAACCCTTCAAATTCTTTTTTTTTATGGCGACAAAACGTGACACGCATGCAAACCGCAATTCTAAATTTTGATAATCATTTTTTTCACTAGTAGATGCTTTTTTGTTTACTTCAAAGCGCCCATTAGTGAACTACATTCTATTATTACTGAAATAAAGTTGTTTGATTGAATTTTCAGCTATATACAGTGACGAATGAGATAGAATAATTTTCATCGTTGTTAAATAATTGTATTGCTTTTCCCACCAAATAATAATTTGTTCACCCAACCGATAAATACGACTTCGGTTACGTTTAAAAACTCTCTGAATAGTCTGATGCTGTGTATTAAAATATACAATTACTTTTTATGAATTGTCCTCCTGTATATTCTAATTGAACAAAATTGTTGATTTAGTTTATTTTTACATAATCCATGTAAAGTATAACTGCGCATGGCATTTTCGAGGAGCTTGTTTGTGAACAAATTAACATGTGAATCTTTCGAAGTCATTTTGTTGCATAAAGTCTGGGGTAAAGTTTTACGATAGTTCAATTTCCCTAGTAAAGTGATTCATTAATTTCCATTGTGATCCAGGGAAATAATGTCCACCTACAACTATCCAAGCTCATAATAAAGTTGAGATGACTGGTAGAGTGTGAAAAATTACAGGAGTCTTATAGCAGGCCATCTCGCACCAACAGTGAATAATATTCATGTAGGTTTAAGGTGCCCATTGTCGTTACAATAATTCTGGTACTAGGCAAGTAGCAGAAACCTAACCTACATGACAGCTTGGTAGTACCAGCTAAGTCCAGCAGTCAGTTACTGCCCGGTATATAGATGCTTGCTCAGGAAAATTTAACACTAAAGTTCGTTGTAAGTACCAGCGGAGATAAGATAAAACTCAGAGAGTTACTCGCAGTATCTCAACAACTTGATTTTAGTTACGGTATTGGAAGAGTTAAAAAAAATACGGTGAGTTAATACGGATTAGCTTCTTGACGTGTAAAATACGGTGAGTTACTACGAATTACTTGACGTGACGAGCAAGATTCAACGCTCAGTTCGTGCGAATTTGCGTCTAAATCTTCAAACGTTGCAGCAGGCGCTACACATCTTGATTCTCTAGATAGATGAAGTGAGCAATAAAATTTACACGTGTACAAATATGTAATAAATTATAAATATGAATATCTATCTTGCCTGCAAGTGTGTGGTGAAGCGGCAAATTTCTAACAGCCCCGCATAGCTCGAAGAGTAAAACTTGGGCGAAATTATAACCAAATAACATCGTACATTCTGCCAATGTGTTACATCAAAATAAAACGAATGTGTTCCACAGAAGCTACTTTTTCAAATATATTTTAGCTATATTCAAACTAGCAAAAAGTTGCAATAAACTTTTCAGTACTAGAGAAATTAACCCTCATATACACAGGAAATGTCTTACGAACCTCATTTAATACAAGTCCACGTTGCACATACATTCTCAATGAGAAAACTGTTGAGCTGCACTTTTCCAAGCAGTTAAATGAATTAAACAAAAAAGTATTCATCGAACTATGATCAATTTGGCCAATAAATTGATCAATATCTTGTGGTATGACGGTACAGAGTTTCAAGTGCAAGATGCGACACAGGAGACAAGAGGCAACAGTGAGATGCCAGATGCTTTATAATTACGCGTATAATTCAAATTTCAAATTAAGAAACAATACCTCACTTAATAAAAAATCTTATTTAGCATTAGATAGAGTAATGAAGTCTCGTGATTTTAGACCACAGTTGAGAGATATAGAATTTCATGTAGAACATTACGCTTCTTTCAGTTGCCAGTTCTAAATAACTAAAATTAGAATGTGAAAGCGATTGCTACGAGTTCAAAAATAGTATAATATAATGAAGAAGTGATCGCTACGATGAAGAAGTGATCGCTACGAAGATGATTCAGACGTAGTCTCCAGCCAGTGTCTGATAAGGCAGTGAGCTATCGTCATGGGAGGAGGCAGCAGCAGGGCGGCAGTTTTTGGTTCAGAGCTAAACCAAGGGCTGCCACCAGCAGCAGATGATGTCAAGGACCAAGGGCTGCCACCAGCAGCAGAGGCTGTCAAGGACCAAGGGCTGCCATTAGCAGCAGAGGCAGTCACGGCAGCTTCTACTTCAGCACGAGACCACCAGCGTCCGTCTTGCAGTTCGCTGGTGTCCAGACTCACCTGAAAAGAATAAACTATCAACTTTATGCTCAATTCTTAACGTGTATTTTAATTGATATTTTTGGACTATTCTGAATGGCAAGCAATTCCATCTTGTACATGTACAAGAAATGTCCAAGACATGTACAAGACCTGAAGACCATACAAGACACATACGTTACAAGACACATACAAGACACATACAAGACACATACAAGACACGTACAAGACACATACAAGACACATACAAGACACGTACAAGACACATACGTACACAACACATACACAACACATACAGACCTCATGGGTGAGGGCGGTAGCGATGCAGCCCATCATGAGAGAGCCAGGGAAGGGCCAGTGCTGGCAGCCCAGGTAACGCACGGCTGTCACCTCCAGCCCCGCCTCCTCCGCTACTTCTCTCTTCACGCACGCTTCTAGAGTCTCGCCTGTACACCATTAAATGAAGGGTAATATGGGGGAATAAGATGAATATTATTAATATTGAAGGTTAATATGGGGGCCCAAGATAAATACCTATTATTAATATTCACGCACGCTTCTAGAGTCTCGCCTGGACACCATTAAATGAAGGGTAATATGGGGGACTAAGATAAATATTATTAATATTCACGCACGCTTCTAGAGTCTCGCCTGGACACCATTAAATGAAGGGTAATATGGGGGACTAAGATAAATATTATTAATATTCACGCACGCTTCTAGAGTCTCGCCTGTACACCATTAAATGAAGGTTAATATAGCATTTAAGAGATTAACGAGTTGAGATTCCAACAGACATCCTTGTTTACCAATTATTTAAGTGTCCTAGAAAAGGCCGAGGCAATATTCAGGAATAACTAGATGTAAGACTACATATTCAAATTTAAATGTTGATGAGGAGAGGTAACGATTAATAATACTTCCTAGACTAATTGTAATAGATTAATTTCAGGTAATATTTGAGAATAATGAACTGATTTTAATTATTTAAAGAAGGAAATTATATTTGATGTCATGATACTAACCAATTTGAGAATAAAGAACTGATTTTAATTATTTAAAGATGTAAATAATATTTGATGTAATGATACTAACCAATATCAGCGAAGCCAGCAATGCAGGTAAACATGCCAGGAGGATGTCGAGGCTGGCGTACAAGAAGAGCTTTAGAGTTGCGTTCATCAGTGACCAGGACGATGCCTACAGGCTTGCTGCTCGGGTAAATGCTTGCCTTGCATGTCTCGCAATAGCGATAGCTTCCTGTGTGGCAATGATGATTTTCACGTGAAGCAAGACGGTAGTGGCAACACCGATTTAGATGTGAACATTTTTATAAATAAGCGATTTTTATATTCAGCAACGACGCAAGTTTGAAACCCGAGTAAAAAGTCAAATTTAAGCAAAAAATAAATAAAAGAGAACAGAGCATTTTTTGTTTAGCTTTATTTATGTGCAGCGTAGAGAAATACCTAGATGTATATATACTTCATATATGCATTATGCTTATCAGAAAAAAGTATATTCAAAATTAACTGCAGAAGGATCTCTAAGTAGTACCAAAATATGACGATTTGCAATTTTAGTTCCAAACAGTCTAATTAAGATGTATACCGGTATTAACCATTCATCTTTAAATGATACCATCTGTTTTGAACACGTAATTTATTGAGTCTACCTCAAGAAGCAAGACAAATTTATTAATAAGAACAAGGCCATGAACAAGGCCATGAACAAGGCTATGAACAAGGCCATGAACAAGGCCATGAACAAGACCATGAACAAGGCTATGAACAAGACCATGAACAAGGCCATGAACAAGGCCATGAACAAGGCCATGAACAAGGCCATGAACAAGGCCATGAACAAGGCTATGAACAAGGCTATGAACAAGGCCATAACAAGGCCATGAACAAGGCCATGAACAAGACCATGAACAAGACCATTACACTACAACTGAAGACAGTCACTACCAGCAGCATTGCACTTGGTCTTTGTGCCACAGGCGCCACAGTAGAGGTTCTGCTCATGGAAGTGCAGCAAGGACCTGGCACGGCTCAGGAGTTCAGACTGGGCTCGAGGCACAACAAAGAGGGCAACCCGCAGGTCTTGGATGGCAGCATCAGGGCGGAGGCTCTTCAGGGCAGTTCTGTCCTCCTTGCTTAGTTTGCCTACCTAACCAAACTGGAAATGAGTGAGTTCAATCATAGCTCATAGCCTCATCACGATATGGGCATGAGGAAATCAATATCGGAAGGAAGATACCATAATCAATCTTTGAATATTGCTAAGGAAATATTTCAGAGGTCAACAAATAAAGTATAAATAATAGCATATACCTATTTATAATAATATCCAATCTAGGTAATGTGAAAGACACATACAAATTTCTCAAAATCTATTGGTAAAACATAAATGACTAAATAAATTATGAAACTTGACCTCCATGTTAATTCAATACATTATATTCTATTACTATTAGCATCGCAAAAGATAACAATTGAGTCAGAATGCAGGATTCTACATAAAGTTATAAGAGAGACAGTGCTGTAAAGCATCAATTCAATAAGTTGAACAGACTTAAACCTAAAACTCTGAAGAACATTAATGACAAAATATTTAAACTTCACTTAAAAGAGGCTACAGTTTGCAGGGAAGCTCCCACCTGCACAGCATAGATAGGCTGTCCGCTGGGCGTCATGTGGAGAAGCACATTGCCTACAAATATGGCAAGGCAGACCTCGCGCACCTCTGCAATATTGCAATTTAAATTAAACAAACATGAATGTTGAAGATCAGAGAGTATAAAATGCAATATTAGACATAAAATTTACAAATGTTCACAACATAAAAGATGGTGAAACATCCACTATTATATTGATAATATCAATATAATAACCCCTGGTTTTATTAATAGCAGGTAAAGGCCAAGATTAATGTAAGCTCACGCACAACTGAAATTGAACAGTGAAACAAGAATTGAACAACAGCTGCGTAAAATCCAGGATAGATAAATACAATAGGAAAATTGCTAAATGATATTGTTTCGATTTTTACTTCATCTTGAAGCAATGAAATTCTGTAGTAAGTGAATTAATTATAAATGGTTGAGGGAATTTAAGGTGCTAGAATTAATTACTTTAATTATAGGTGATCTATTACTGCCTTCTTTGAGTTGGTCTAAAAACTTACCAGCTGAGCAATAAACAGACCACTTATACAAAATTAATGTACATGAACAAATAAATTTAAATTAAAATTACCAAGTGTAGAAATGTTTAAAACAAATACCCTATATCAGTACAGTATATGTGCATGCAAATAACATCTGCAATTATATACATGATGTTGCTCACAAAATGGAAGTGTTTGCACATGCAAGCCAATTCATAAGAACAAAAGTTTCTACAGCAACTAGCCAATATAGTGTAATGTTTAATAGGTATTTCTCCAACTTGAATCAGCTTCTAAATGATATATAGCCATCCAATGAAATTTTTACCTGGATAAGATAGCCATGCTATCTGTTGTAGTTGTGGTTCATATATTGGAGCATTTGTTAACATTTGAGCCCTGGAGGACAGCGAGTCGGCCATGGTGTGGTCCTCATGGTCGACGAACGGCTCCAGCAGAGGGCGCTGGCCGCTGTAGAGCAAAAACTTACCCTGGGGTATGCATGCAGAGCATTCTTCATCATTCCCTTTCAATGCCTGCAAATAATAATATAATGAGGAACAATCATTGAACAGCCAAATGGATAAGTATCCTAACACAATTTGATGGTGAATTAACAGACATATTATGGTTGATTGAAAAAGAAACCTTTGGGAAGTGTACTTGGTTGGTAAGCACAACAAAACACATTTCTTTCTAAACTTTGACAGGTGTTCTTTGGAAGTTTTAATGATTTTTGTGAACTTAAAAAAAACTTTAAAACCTAAAAGTTTTCTTTGAAAGTTTTAATGACAAGTAACTGGCAACTCAAGTACCTACACTGAGGCTACACCCTACACTAGACAGTACAGTAGAACTGTAGAAGGAAGTTAAGCAAAAGTTCATCTAGTAGACTATTTTCTAGACTAGTTAACTTGAGTAAAGAACTAGAAATATAGGTTATACTTTAGTTCTTATTTCTACAGATTACAGAAAGAGCAAATGCTGGATTGGAAAATCAGGTAGAAGCTTTTGTGGATGAGAAAAAATCAAAAACATCTCAGATTCTTGCAGACAATTTGCAGTACCCATTCAATTCCTGAGGCCTTTTTCTAATTCATTCAGTAAATTTCAGTTAGCACTAAGAAAAATTATTATTTTTTTACAATAATTTTTTTAAATCCTCAGCAAAACAATCATTTTTCAGATTTGCCCACAATTTCAGAATATTTTGATCAATATTCTAGATTGGCACAAACACAAAACAGTTAGTTACCTAAAAAAAGGCTAAATAGTTGTAATAGACATATTCAGAATCAATGCCAAATTGTCAATCTAGCTGTCAAACCTGTAAACTGACTAGGTAGGTAGTTAGGTAATTTTGTTTAAAATTAAAATATCAGCCAAGTGATATAAGTAAAATCTGGTTTTAGATTTTTTGCCCCCCATAGTCAATTAGTCATACACCCTGCAATGCAAACAGCAATACAGCATACTTCATTAAAAGTCACTCAAGTCACTACCACCACATCCACCAGATGACCAGAATCCACCCTAATTACTTATATTTTGGCACATTAATATATTTTCTCAAAGACTCAAACTGTCATTCTGCAAGTTTGGAGTTTGGACAAGAAAGCATATTAGCCTGTACCTATTATGCTTTCACCAAGAAGTAGAAGAAAGCATAAATGCATAATATAAGATCACATCAAAGTGGTAGTCTCTACTTCTCAACTATTCGTGAAACTGAAGCATTATGATCTGTCTGAGCTTAGATCAGCTAACGGCAGAAGAGAGCCTGAAAGCTTAGGGCAGGGGAGGGCTTAAGCGTAGTATAAGGACTCCAGAGGGCAGAATGGCTTACCTCCAACTTTCTACTCCACTGTACATACGATAGCTGATGACTCAATCGAAATTGAGTGCTCCATAAATACGGAGGAATAAAACCCAACTGCTTTAATATTTTCATAACTTTAATTATATTTAAAAGTGAAGTAGGCCTATTTGTACATCGATGTTATTTGAGTAGGGTTATATAGGTATTACATATGCCGAAAGCCCGAAACCCTAAATAACATAGCCTAACCTAAAAGGCTGAAAGTGGAGCTAGTAAAGACACCGGACCCGTTACTCCGCCAGTCGGACACCATTGGCGAGCTTCAACACAATTGTCTTCTACTGATAGCCTTAATTTTTAGTTCGACTGAATGGCTTTACCGGTATTTTTAATTTGAAGTCGCAGGTCACAAGACAAATTATTGAAACCTTTAGAAACACATGACAACCTATTTGTACCAGCAATTGTATCGCAGTCCGTTCATAAGACCAGTAGTGATTAAATTCCTTAATTTAATACGCGTAGTTTTAACATATCTTCAGTGTATTGTAGTCAGCATATCTCAGTATCTCACTATGAAGAAGAAGAAGAATTTCTCATATGCATCTACAATCGGTTTTATCTATCAATGTAGCTGTACTAATAATCTGAGATAATCTTTATTCTCCAATTACTTTTTTTGGATTATTCATTCGTATAATCATCGTTTAGAGTCGGGGCATGGTCCACTATTAATCTATAGTCATCTTACAAGATGAACTACTGCTCCAGAAGATGCAAAAACACATGCCCAACTTTCAAAACTTCGATGTGAGTTGAATTCCAAAAGAAATGTGGTACTAGGAAAAATATTTCATCGAATACAATCTCCCTCATGAACTGTGACGTTGCCCTAGACTGAACATTTGGCAGCTCTGAATTCGCCTCCTGTGAGCTCTCGCCACTCTATTCTGAACGTTGACGTCGAATTCTTCGTACAAGAGTACTGGCTAGATTCTTCTTTTCTGTAATGGTCTATTGCCCGCGATCAGACATAATTCTTTTTCCATTTTAAATTAAATCTTCGTTGTCATGTCGTACCTTGGTCTGCTGTACGACCATAAAAATCAACCAAACAATCAACAATCGGTTCTGGCATGGAACTGTCAATAACGCTGAACGATATGCCTTTTTCATTCCCTCCTTCGAAAGCTCAATGGCTCCAGGCATTTAGTTTCCCTTCTCATACAACAGCGAATACACGTGAATAAATGGCTTTGGGTCAGGTATTAAAGGCTCTTTCAGTTGCCTGATGAAATTTCGAATCGCAATTAGTGTACTTTCAGCAGTAAACTTATATTCATCAAAACCTAGAGAGGTTTGCATTACATACTCCAATTTTAGAACTTCAGGCGTCGCGCACTCTTACATTTGTACAGCATGGTAAACTGGTAAAAGGCCTCCAGCAGAACAACGAGTTATTAATTTCTGCAAAGTCGGATGAATTCTATGTGGGGGTTAAAGATTTTCCAAAGCAACCCCAAACTCCATTTTGACTTTTCGTCTGCTGGCGTTGGAAATGTCTTGGTGAAATTTTAGTATTCTGCATACGGAATGTCTCTTAACAATAAATTCGAAAAAAAAAATTACCGGTCAAATTTATCATTCCAAGATGAAGTTCATAAATAATGATCAGGTAAATAAAGGAGGTTAGGATGGATTGTCCGCATCCCAATCATGTCGACATATTGTACAGAAACCTACGAACTGAAACGTGAAGCTTGTACTGAAATAATTTCGGCACTCAGTGCCTCGAGCCTCTTCGAGTTGTAAATGTTTTTACGGAAAAATGAAGATAAAAAAATGGAGAACAATTAGTGCCTCGCCGCATTGATGATTAGGTATTTAATTCCCTAATGATATTGTTGGAATGATGCATGTTTAAATTCCAACAGAGTGTGTTCACGAAACACGAACTGACACTGTGTTATGTCAAGTTTAAACGTATTCATTCCTGGTCGACAACTATCAGTGATAATTTTCAAACATTGAGCGCTGATTACATTCAGTAACAATTCATTTTTCTTCGATCATTCAGTGCGATGATGTTGTTGTTATGAAGGAGTCTATACTTCGAAAACATGAACAAATATATTATTTTATACATATATATGTCCACTCGAGAAGTGTGGTACACCGCTATACCGTTGTGGGTGCTAAATCACTAAATTGTAATAAAAATAGATCGCTGTAAGCTTTTAACTCATAGTTGCGCGACAGAAGCTTCTGCTTCACGCTGGATTTAGTATAGTATAGTATAGTAGTATAGTATCTTCGGCATTAAATAAATAGGCCTGGATAGGCCTGTCGCCGATTCTTGTACTTTTCTTGACTAGACTGGCCTTTAGACGGACGGACAGACAGACAGACAGACAGACAGACAGACAGACAGACAGACAGACAGACAGACGGACAGACATGGCGAGCACAGTAGTGCATTTTTTACATCAATGAGAAAATGCACTAAAAAGCGCCTTTATTTTTCCCGAAATCAACGTGAGACGCTTTAACCTCACCGCATTGATGATTAGGTATTTACTTCATTATTGATATTGTTGTAATGATGCATGTTTAAGTTCCAACAGCGTGTGTTCACGAAACACGAACAGACACTCTGCTATGTCAATTTAAAACGTATTCATTCTTAGTCGACAATAATCAGTAAGAATTTTCAACAATTGGGCGTTGATTACATAAAGTAAAAATTCATTTTTCTTCGATCAAAAGTGCGATGATGTTGTTGTTATGAAGGATGATGTTGTTGTTACTTCGAAAACAAGAGCAGATATATTATTTTATTCATCCAAAATAAAATAAATAAAATTCCTTTGAATTATTCTGACAACATTTTACGGAACGGAGGCTACGGGCCATGAGCTGCAGCCCGGGAGTAGAGCTTAGCACGTCACCGATTAACGTCGAATTTAACCTTGTCTGTTCGCCGTATTGCTTTTTGGGTTTAAATCATTGCTGTAAGTATTTTGTTATTGCTAGACGCAGTATAACTCCTGTGTCTACTTATTTTAGTTGCGACTATATAATATCTTATGTGCCGAAACTATGTATCACTTTCTTTGTTTACGTCGTCTATAGCATAGCTACAATTCACCGTAGCCAAGAGGGTTAATATAACCTCTGAAGCCTTTAATTTTACCTTGTGCCAATCTCTGTTTTATTATTAACGGAATGTCGCCACGCCTCAAGTAAAGTCTTTGTTTTGTTACTTTCAGCTTACAAGAACAATAAAGGATTAGCACCACAAGTTCGGTTGTTAACTGCCTTGGCGACATAGCCTTTTACGTGAACGCCCTGGACATATGTCCACTCGAGAAGTGTGGTACACCACTATACTGTTGTGGGTGCGCAACTGAAATTGTAAATAAAAATAGATCGCGGTAAGCTTTTAACTCTTAGTTGCGCGACAGAAGCTCCTGCTATACAAGCTGGATTTAGATGCTAATGTTGTATCCGAACGCATAAGGTTGACATCTTCAATACTTGTGACCAAAGCTAGCTGGTGCGTTGTGTCATTCTCGTAGAAGTGGAAGCACTCGGAAAATTTCGTTGCTTTCCATCATCAGGAAATTAGGGAAACTATATGGCGGCGCAACTGTTCAATGCTTAAAAACTATTGGCTATTCCAGGAAAGATAATGTGTGTCTTTGCTCAATAATTGACTGCATGTTCATCACGTTTTTATTTTGGGCACCTAGACAAAGACACATATAACATGGACCTCTATGAAATATACGTTTGTATTTACATATAAAGCTGCTACGACATTGAGGGCAAAACTCTTTACGGATTACGTAGCGAAATAAACTTTGCGGATTAGAAAGCATCGGCCAGCAATGTTTTTAAAAGAAACAAGGTTGAATATTGAGTATCTTAATAATATGCCTAATTTACGGAGACATTGACCAGCAATGACAAGCCACTACAAACTTTGAAAAAAAAAAACAATGTGCAAAAATTCAATTGTGAAAAATACTTCGCAAATACATGCCAGGTCCTTTGATCAAATTGGTGCGTTCTAGACTCGACGACCCGAACGCCTTACAAGAATAGCTTCATTTCGGATGTCCCACGAAAAGAAATGAATGGGTCAAATTGTCCAAATAATGAAACACTTTAGCATTGATACGCGCTTCTGTCTGACAAAACTGAGTCAGGAACACATGGGCAAAAAGTGCTTTGGTATTTGGACATTGTCTCGCCCATTTCTCTCATCGCCCATTTCTTTCACTGCCCTTTTGTCTTTTCAATTTTTTATCGTGAAAAACGATAAAATTCAAAATTATGTTGGTAATACTTTGAAATTCCTTGGACGACCAGTCATATAATTTATATAATCTATATTAATCCTGTATGGAAATTTGCAAAATAGCGATCGGTGCACATGTTCAAGAGAAGGCCTTGTATCAGAATATACCACCAGTTTTTGACGATCGATGATATTCATCGATCGTCGATAACCTACAGCTCAGTTATCATACTAAACACTATTTTTTGTTAACACTCAAACAGAAACATTGTGAAACCATCTTCGAATATATAACTTTCAGGCATGTGCGTCGATTTTCAAATGAAGCTGTATTGCAATAATATAGGTTCAGTATAATAGTATTCTATTTCAGGAATAAATTTCAGAAAGTTTGTTAATAATTATTGAGTAACGTATTTATATTACTAATGAATTAATATTATAATTATATGATTAAAGCAGCTAACATCGATGGCATGTAGATATGGGAACGAGATAAAACGGTTGGAGGCCCGGTTAAATTTTTGGAAATTATATGTTATTAAACAGTTCCAGACGTCTGGTAAGTTGGAAGAAGATGTGTTTATGGAAATTGTATAATAAGACTAGTGTTGGCTTTCGATATATTCTCATTACATCGGCACTCTGATTTGGTAAGCCCAAGCAAATTACATCCAGAATTCAATTTTACTGCATTTACAACACAATTTTCAACATAAATGAATGTTGAAGCGATCGAATGTTGTCTAAAAGCCGATAAATAATTACAAAACAGAGAAAAAGTTTGCCAACTGAGAACCCTACATACCGGAGCAGGATGCAAAACACCGTGCAAATTCAAATCATACCGAGAATGTATTATTTCCGGAAAATAATTATGGAAATAAGAGAATACAATCTGCCAACTTTTGAGTTCACTAATTATAAGAGTAGTTGAGTGGTCCATCAACTGGCGACTAGCGGTGTGTTCAGCCACGTGATCTTGTTCTACATTGTCAACAACTTGAAAAAAAGGACAAAATAAGGGAAACACCTGACATTTGGATTCCGTAATTTTTGAACATGTTATAAACAATGAAAACGTGACTTATTCTTATGTTTTATTGTTTATTGTTGCTGCTAATTGATGTTTCATCCTTGTATAGATATTTTTAGTAAGTTTTTGTGTCTACAACCTATAAATGGCAAACCTCTGTGACTTTCAATTAAAGAAGCAAAATTGTTGGTGCCCGTATGGCATATGCTAGTGTGAAAGAAACTTCCCGAATGCTTGACGTTTCTAGAGGTACTGTCTCAAAACTAATGACTGCTTGTAAAAGGGAAGAAAAAATGTCGTAAGCAGAGCAGGTCTGGCCGAAAGTCGATGTTGTCTGAGAGAGACCGTCGGTACCTAAATCGAATTGTGAGGGACAATCGAAAGACCACGGCTGTTAAAATTAATGAAGACTTCAATGGACACTTACAGAACCCAGTTTCCATAAAGACTGACCGCCGCAAGCCGCACAGATCTGGATTCTATGAAACAGCTGCGATTAGAAAATCTCTGGTTTCAAATACAAATGCATTAAAGAGTTTAGAGTGGTGTAAACTCCTCCCCAGAGTAGTGGAAAAATATGATTTTCTCTGACGAATAATCGTTTACCTTATTTCCAACCTCTGACCGAGTTCCCGATTGGAGACAGACAAAAGAGTCATTTCATCCCGACTGCCTCCTCCCATCCATAAAACGGCGGGGTACAAGTGATGATCTGAGGTGCTATTTCTAAGAAATCCAGTAGAGCAATGATTTTTCTTCATGGAAGAGTCAACAGCCGTGACTGTTTAGGAATATCGGAAGACCAAGCTAGTTCATCCTATGGTTCAAGCACTGTTTCCGGAGGGGAACGCCATCTTTCAAGATGACAATGCCCCGATCCATTCAACTGGAATAGCTAAAAAAAGGACGGGGACATTTTTAAATAAGTTGAGCATCTCATTTGGACACCACACTAACCAGACCTCAGTATTATCGAGCATTTATGGTCGATTTTAGAGATGCTAGTCAAAAGTCGATTCCCGCCGCCTTCGTCTTCAAAAGAGCTGAAGGGAGTTGTAACTGAAGAATGGGCTAAAAATGCATTTGTAAACAATTCAAAATTTGTATGTATCAATACCTCGGAGAATTGAGGCTGTAATTGCCGCAAAAGGTGGACCATCATCACACAAAAATATATTTTGTGGATTTCTCTGGTGTTTCCCTTATTTTGGCCAACCGCTGTACATTCTACGGCATGTTATTACAATGACTAGACATTCATTGGGTATATAATGATACATTTGAAACATGAAAACAACGTAAACAAAAAGGTTGCATTTTCGTAGTTGTGAAGTAATTATGACGTTGGCCGCTGGGTTCCAAATTTCAAATTCACATTGCACATCCCATATTTTTAGGGGAATGTCATATCCATTCTACAAAGTCTTACCTACTTTCATAGTAAAAATTAGGTCGGATAAATCTGGGAATGGGAACGGTTAGAAAGCTATACTAACTCAAGCCTCAACTATTCTCATTCTTAGTATGACACTAGTAACGCTGCCGTCAGAAAGCCTTTCTTCGCTCTCGTGTCGAGAAAGCGATGTTCGGGGAGATTCAGTGACGTAAAACGAGTCTGTTCGAGACCTCTGAAGTTCGAAACTCTCAGAGCGTTCCCAAGTATTGCTTCTTGCGTGACAAGAAGAACACTGGTAATTCTGTTCAGTGTTATTACATCCAGTGTGGTATTGATGCTGATGTCCCTGTGGTGGTATCTGCTGGTCGTGAATCATCTGGAGTTGTGATGCCTCCATTGGCCAGTTCTTTGAACTTGGTAAGATGACCTGATGGCTACCTGGACCTTCGGAAGTATTTCGATAAGATTGCGGAATAAATGCGGAGCGATCTGCAATTTTTGGTTCTGGCAAGTATTTTGTGTGGTTGACATGTCCTGGCTGAGGCTGAACAATGAAGTTTGGTTGGGTTGTTCCACTTAGAAGTCCTTGGTTATCGCGGCAATTTGTTTGCTGGTTGGGAGGGCGGGCTGGACTGAGGCCAATTCTTTGAAGAAGTTTCTTGTTGGGCGCCGCTACTATTGTGTCTGTACTCGATGCTGAGAGCTTTTGCTGGCCCTGTCTTCTTTGTCTTTCTGCTTTTTGGTTTAAATGGAAATCATTTTTTGATATTCCCTTCTCAAACTCAATTCGGTTGATGGTCCCTATAGACTTGTTAAGATTGGAGCGCATTTGAACCATCTTCATAGATGAATTATTAGAGGACGAACCAGTTTGATATCCATCGTCCAAGAGGTTGTTGAGGCTCGATGTATTGCCATGCTTGGTACAGGAAGAACCGGATAGCTTTCCTGAGCTAACGGACTTTTGCTGAGAAATATCACTAGACTGCGAGATCATATCATCTTCTTCGACATTATTTTGCCGTGTAGAGATCGATCTCTCCAGCCACTCGTGAATTCGTTTACGTTTTGCCGCTCGATCAACTGTCGTTTCAATCCCATGATCTTTTAGAGCTTTGAGAACTTTATCTTTTTCAATTTTCGAAGAGTGCATCGAGAATGTGGAATAGCAAATAGACTGGTTATCAACATCATCAAATTTCTTGACCTGTCGCGTGAGCCATTTGTCATCAATGTATTTCGTTATCTCCTTCACCGAAGCCCTCTTCTCTGGCTTAGGTTCAAGTGTCCTTTTCATCCACCGGAGGAAGCGGGTGCTAAAGTTACTCAAACGCTTTGGTGTTCGTAAAGTCTTCCTCTTCCGCCAGTTTGCGTACTCGGCGTAGTGCGGATCAGTTAGGTCAGCTTTCTGCCACGGCAGCTGGCCGGTGAGCAGCACGTATACCAGGATCCCGAACTGCCACACATCCTAGCGACAGAAAATCAGATCTTAAATGGGAATCATGGACGGGCTCGACGTAACAAAAATTTTATTTATTTGAAAAGTTCAAATTTTGATCATGGAATTAGACCGACGTAATAAAACGAATCTTAATTTATTATACGTCTCAGGATTCGTAAAAAGCGAATTATGCGATTAAATCATCTTTAATTCTTGTATGCTGCAAAAACAAATGTCCCGAATTAAGTCGCGTAAGTATATTATTTTATTGATGTAAATGGTAGGGTCCTGTGAAGGTTTATCAACTTGATCAAATTGCTCTACTGATAGGTAAATAATTGACAAGTCAATAACTAACGTATAATAAATAGAGATTATTCGTTATACCTGTGCCGTATCTACGTGGTAGCCTTCGTTCTGAACCGCGTCGACGATCTCGGGCGGCGCATAAGGCAGCCAAACGGTTTTTTTCTTCAACAGGCTGCCGGTTTTGCGGGTGGAGCCAAAATCACAGAGCTTGACGCGGCTAAAGTCGCTTTTGAACACCAAAATGTTATCCATGTTGATATCGCGATGCACCAAATCCTGAAAAGTGTTAGAATTCACGTGATATTTATTTTAAACAGGATTTATATTATTAAGCGTGCGGGAAACAACGAATAAGTGAAGTTCTAGAAAAACTTTGAATATGTAGATTGGTTAAAAGAGCGATGTCCGAGTGTAAATTGGAATCCTCGAATATGTTTTTTTTTGCAGTGTGAAAATACTTCTAAAACATGTTAAATACTGCATCTAAAGGCTCTTTATTACTGTTGAAATTATTTCACCAGAGATTTAAAAATTCAATACCTCTAGGAAAATTTTTTCGGACGCCAAACATGAAAATATTCATTATTTCATTTATTTGTTAAATAATGTGTCATCAATGCCAAGTTTATCGTTATGATTGTCTTAGAGACTAACCGAAGTGTTTCATAATTCAGTCAAACAAAACTACGCTTTTGGTAATGTCTTAGAATGCATAAACTCGAAGGAGGACTCGGAGGCCATACCTTGGAGAGCATAAAGTCCACTGCGGCCTTGGAGGCCATACCTTGGAGTGCATAAAGTCCAAGGCGGACTTGGAGGCCACACCTTGGCGTTCATAAACTCCACGGCGGACTTGGAGGCCATATGTGGAACTCCCTGCGTGGTCAATGTAAAGTCTTAATGAGGAGCATTTAATGAGAAGACTCGGTAGTAATTGTAGTGGAACTCCCTGCGTGGTCAACGTAAAGGCTTAATGAGGAGCATTTAATGAGAAGACTCAGGTATAATTGTAGTGAAACTCCTTGCGTGGTCAATGTAAAGTCTTAATGAGGAGCATTTAATGAGAAGTCTGAGGTAGTAATTGAAGTGAAACTCCCTGCGTGGTCAATGCAAACAAGCATTTCATGAGAAGTTCGACGAAATGAAAAATGGATCTTAGTACATCAATGCTTAATCTTAATTAGAATTCGTGAAGAAGATAAGGATGTGATTATATTTAAAATAAAATTAAGTTCGATAAAATGGAAGTTTCTTACAAACACAAATAAAGATTATTTTAATAGAAGTTTAATAAATAAGCTTTATGACTTAAATGACGATTGGGTGCTATTAATTTCTAGTATCAAGATTAGCATGGAAGCATAGATATTTATATATTAATATTTATAAATTCAAAATAAGCTAAAATCGCACTCAGAAAAAAAATACGCGTATTGTCCACATTATGACACAGATTCTTCACGCACCACTAACACGCCCTTAAGTCGAGCCAAACGGTGCGAGGAGGACCCACCCACGAGCAAAAGTACATCAAAATTTGCACAAAGTCTTACTTATTTCTATGAGTGCACGCTCAAAGAGATGAGTGTAACCTTCCAAACATCCATGCACTTTGTACGCTTTGTGGGTCATCCTGACCCAGTTTGGCCCGGCGATAGGGCGTATCAGTGCTACCCAGTCTCTGCTCGTGCTGTGTGTATTTAAAATAAAATTAACTAATGTTAATAAATGAAAAAATGTGTCACTCTATTAGGATGATTTGACCAACTCAATCTTCTGAGTGCAGGCAGCAGATTTATTCGAGTCAGTTGACACCATGGCTGAAATAATATTAGTATTTCAACCATGAGTTGATACTACCTGAAGAAGTCCATCCTGGAGGTGGCGTCCTTATGGGTGGCCTTAAGAACCACTTCGTTCCTAGTGACGCGGTGCTCCACCAGCAGCACCCTGCCTCTCCACCCCTCCTGCAACACTGCAACCACCTCATACTCCGCCTCCAGGCTGATCTGCACTCACACAAATCAATGGGTCATCGTCCATCATCATATTTCTGCAACAGTTTATCGGCTAGAAATAAAAAGGAAATTAATATCAAACAGCAAAAAATTTGGAGCCTTGTGTAAAGCATCAATTCTAGAATTTCAGTGTGTTTTCAGTGCAGTGCATTTGGCTGTATAGACTAAAAACTAAAAACTAAAAACTAAAAACTAAACACTAAAAACTAAAAACTAAAAACTAAACACTAAAAACTAAAAACTAAAAACTAAAAACTACAAACTAAAAACTGAAAACTGAAAACTGAAAACTAAAAACTAAAAACTAAAAACAAAAAACTAAAAACTGAAAGAGTTGCTGGTCGTTTTGAGCACTTCAGCCAGATAATATAAGGTGTTTTCTTACATCATTCCCCTGAAACTTCTACAACTTAGCCGTGAAACTTATTAATTTCTGCCTAAATCGAAATTAATTTCCAAGATTATGTAATTTTAATATACTTTATGATTGATTTCTGCTTAGAAAATATATGATATGACGAGCCTGCTATAACGTAAGGAATACATTTATTAACTGAATGAGCACGAAACTCACATTCATCACATTCATAAATTTCTGGCGATATTTAATGCACACAATTTTATTTTCCATCAAAACTATTTTCGGCTTTCCCTTCATTTGACGGGCTTTGAATAATTGGTTACATTTACGCATGAAAAGTCAGGAGCTAACAAATCTGAATTTCGTTTCGGACAAATTGCATTTTCATTGAAATGAAATATTACTTGGCTTGGAGAGGATGGTGGAGAGTTTAAAATTAATTGATAGTCATCAAGCATTTACGCTTTTAAAGAATTGTTTCGCTCTACCTAAACTCCAGTACGTCCTACGTGCGTCTACTTTGATGCTATACAGCATCAAAGTAATGCTGTATAGCATCAAAGTAATGCTGTATAGCATCAAAGTAATGCTGTACAGCATCAAAGTAATGCTGTATAGCATCAAAGTAATGCTGTACAACATCAAAGTAATGCTGTACAACAAAGTAATGCTGTACAGCATCAAAGTAATGCTGTACAGCATCAAAGTAATGCTGTACAGCATCAAAGTAATGCTGTACAGCATCAGAAGATAACAAGGGCGTAAGGCCAGCGCGGTGGGGCGAGGGACGACAGCTTTAAGCGCCGCCCACCGCCCACGGAACGTGTGGGCGACGTGCCCCTGCAGGAGCTGAGGGACGGATGGCGTCCCAGGCAACAGCAGGTCTACGCCAGCAATGGACCAGCAATGGACCAGTATAATCGCCAGCAATGGACCAGCAATGGACCAGCAATGGACCAGTATAATCGCCAGCAATGGACCAGCAATGGACCAGCAATGGACCAGCAATGGGCCAGTATATACGCTGTCTCTTATACACATCTAGATGTGTATAAGAGACAGGCATCAAAGTAATGCTGTACAGCATCAAAGTAATGCTGTACAGCATCAAAGTAATGCTGTACAGCATCAAAGTAATGCTGTACAGCATCAGAAGATAACAAGGGCGTAAGGCCAGCGCGGTGGGGCGAGGGACGACAGCTTTAAGCGCCGCCCACCGCCCACGGAACGTGTGGGCGACGTGCCCCTGCAGGAGCTGAGGGACGGATGGCGTCCCAGGCAACAGCAGGTCTACGCCAGCAATGGACCAGCAATGGACCAGTATATACGCCAACAATGGACCAGTATATACGCGAGCAATGGACCAGCAATAGACCAGTATATACGCCAGCAATGGACCGGCAATGGACCAGTATATACGCCAGCAATGGACTAGCATTGCCAATAAATCTCAAATTTCGAAGCGATAAAGCCATTCAACGGTTGCACACTCAGAAATACTTATGGGTTTTGTTTCCAAATAGTACAACATTTCTTACCCACAGTAGGAGCAGAAAGCGGACGTAGCACTGATGCGTATTTTTGTCGGGTTCAAATGGGTCAGGACGAGAAAATGCGGAAAAGCGACAATTTCGTATTCCGAGTCGAATCGTTCATTTAACGCTCACATTTTAATTCTTGCGAACGGTAGAGGATGATGCTATGCATGGAATGATGGTCAGATGATTGTTGATTTTAAGAGTCTTGATAACGGAGCAGCAAAAACGAACTGGAGGCGTTGTGGGTATTTTTAATACGAAATATTAAGTAACCATATAGAGTAAATTGCCGCGTTAAAGGGTTAGAGAAACGCGTTTACGCCTTAGACATGACTTTCATCGCTGGCAGGGAAGTGTTTTATCATACCACAAAGTGCAAGGCACGAAATACTGCATCACAAACTTACCCTTTATCAGCAGAATCCTGCGTCCCCTCGACTCCAGAACTTATGTAGCTCCGAGCATAATTTGTGGCGCAGAGGCTGTGATTTAGGGCCGCTATAGTCGCTTGATCGGTCGAGCGTGACACATCAGCTACAAAGACCTGACACACCTACAGTGGCATTAGAGGTGCTGGCACATCAGCTACAAAGACCTGACACACCTCCAGTGGCATTAGAGGTGCTGACACATCAGCTGCAAAGACATGACACACCTACAGTGGCATTAGAGGTGCTGGCACATCATCTACAAAGACCTGACACACCTACAG